CATGGGATTGCTGGCATTGCAGCATGCTCTCCAGGAACCCTCAAGCCTTCCCTTTCAGCTCTGCAGTATCAGAACAGCAGAGCCTGGATTGGAGCAAGGGAAAGGCCTGTTTTCCACAGAATCCTTCCCTCAGACCCAGAGCATTTAGAACAGAAATCCCTGTGGGAGTTAATGTTGCTCTAAAAAGAGCTCCCAAGGGGTGTGCAGCTTCTTGACAACACCACATGAAGTGATCTGTTTGTTATGGTCATATATTAACAGGCAACATTGCAAGTGACCCCCATGCCTCTCTATTTCCTTGGCCACATGTATCGTGTCCTTTTTCTGGTGGCTAGTCCAGAAAAAGAGGACAAGAGCTCACTACTGTTACCACCTCAGGGATTTGTTGGGTTGAGATCAGCATGCAATAGTGACAGAATCAGGGACTTCAAGCCTCTAGGGTGACCTCTTACCTTTATAGACCTGCCCTTTCATCATACACAGCTATTTTAAAGTTTAGTGTGATCGTAAACAGACCCATTTTCAACCCTTCACCACACAAAACAAAGCCTGCAGTATTCATCTTTAACTATTTATTTCTACTCTCCTGGCTCCCAAACTGTCTTTCCTCCCTACTGCCGCCAGTCACCTTCGAGTTCTCCATCTTCTCTCCCCAGCTCTGCTCACTTGATTGCAGCAGCTCAGCAGGTGCTCCAGCTTTGCTCTTTCACTTCCATTCTTCTTCACTTCTTTGGATGGCTGCATTTGCCATTCAGCAGCCTGATGTAAATACCTGAGTCTTCCGTCTAGACATGCAGGCCCAGCAGCTAAAGCCAAAGCCCCACTGAGAGCAGTGAGACATTAGCCTGGAGTGTCAGGAGTGGAGGCTTGGCCCATGGGGACCCTAGGCACTGCAGCTTCTGCCACCTACATGGTGAATCCTCCAACCCTTTGCCAAATGGCTCTTCCACATTCTGCAAAATGGCCTCACTGGCTGACTATCTAGGAGAACAGAAAACCTTTGTTAGAGCAGGAGAGTCTCTTCAGTGCAGCACTCTTTCTACAGCTTCCAGAGGGTCACAATGAAACACCTGCGAGTCTCTAGGAGTCTTCCCTGCTCGGTCACTTGGCACCCACTACCATTGGTCTCTGACAGTGGCATTGCAAAGGGGAGCTCAGCAGATGGTCCCTTCTATGGCTTCCTGAGTGGGAGGGAGGTTGCTCTTGTCATTTAAGGCCTAGCTTTCAGAATCAGAGCTCCTGGGTTCTCTGGCTTTGGAAGTGGGTGGAGTCTAGTGGGTGGAGCTCGACTGGCATCAATACCATGCTTCCTTCCTGCCTCTGGCAGTGACGTTGTGGGTGACCTTGAAGCCAGTTGGTTTCCATCCCTGTGCACCAGCTAACAGAGATAATACTGACCCCCCCTCAGAGGGGCTGGCCAGGGTCACTACCGTAATGACTCAAGTTGGAGTGAGTTGCGCTTTTGGCAGTGAAGTGCCCAGATTCAGTCCCCATGGATGCCCAAGGTGTCTATATGTGGCCATGGTTTGACTAACCTAGCATTACAGGCTGTTTAGCCCGGTCCTGGCCATGTGTGGTGCATCCGCTCCTGGCCCTCTCTGGCACACAGCTCCATCACACACAAGAACATGGCCCACCAAGGACAATCTATCAGCTCCCATCTGGTGTTCATCGCCAAGATGGCCGGTGAGCCCTAGTCAGACCACAGAAAGACAGGGTGATGTTCTTTGGTGGAAACTGCTGGAGCTTCAGCCTCTGCTCCCAACTCCACCCACACTGTAAGGGCTTCAAAAGTGGACCCTGATCCCAGGTAAACAAAGGAGCTGAGCGGAGGCCAGGGTGGGTGGAATTACTGCTGGGACTGAGCCTAAGAGAAGAACAGATTTCTCCCCTGCTCTAGGGAGATCCCCCTAGGAAAAGCAGCTGGGGTGGGGTGGGGGTAATACAAGCATTACCCCACAGCCCTTGAATAGCAGGCAACTAGGACTTTGGGAGCCAAGGGACTGGTATATCTTGCTGGAGAGCAGAAAAGGGCATTGGAGAAATTGTAGAAAAGTCAATGTCACGGCTGGGTCAAGGGCAGCCAGACCTACTGCTCAGAGCCAGAGTCCACACTCACATGACAGGAGTCGAGAGGCAGCTGGGTCAGGATACTGGCAGATCAGAAGCAAAAGACAAACTTGCGATCACAGCCACAAATCAGATGCCAGGAAATCAAGCCAGGGGAGCGGCAGCAGAAACAGGCAGCACACGGTCCAGAACAGGGAGCAGCCCTGGTGTTCAGTCAGCTTCCTGTTCTGCTGCTGCCTTAAGCAGGGCCAGAGGGCCAATTAGCTTCTCTGGGACTCCTCCAATTGGACCTCAGGAGTGGAGCCTCAAACTGGAGCTGAACTTCATGGGTCCTAGGTAAGCAATTTTCAGCAGGCTTCTAGGTGAAGGGTTGGAGCATGGCTGCTCCCATGAATCCTGCAGACCCTGGTTGAAGACCCCTGGGTCCTGACAATGAGTGATCTCTCCCCGCTCAAACCTCCTGCAGAAAACATTGTTCAGGATCCTGGACACAATAAGATGTGCTGAAGTCTGTCTGTGCTGGGGATTGCTGTCAGCAGGCTCTTCAGCATGGCATCCACGTCTCTGGGCAGGCCTTCTTCGGAGCCTGTCAGAGGAGGGAGACCATTGCTCAGGGTTATGGAACTTGGGGCAACACCTGCCAGGATGACGGCTGGCTCTGCAGTCCTTGCCCAGAGGAGCTCTCTGCAGCGGGTCTGGTGCTGAGCAGGGTAGGGAACAGCCAAGCTGCTAGGGATGGGAGCTGGGCTTCCTGGCAGAGTCCAGGAACCAAAAGCACAGCATCTGCAAGGAAGGGATTCCCCAGAGAGGGGCAACATAATCTCCCACAGAGGGGGAGTCTCCCCCTGACACTAGATTACTCCTGTGGCCTGTTCCCATCTCTGCCCAACGCACCACCAACTCAGCAGCTCCAGCTACCGAAGAGAGCAAGAACCAGAGACCTTCCTGCTCCTGAAACAGAGGAGTAGGTTGATGATCTACCTGAATGTCAGTGTTGGCCTTCCCCATGCCCATGGTCTACACTCCATTCAGGGCAGCACACAGGAACTGTGATTCCTATTCTGGATCTAGGGGCAGCTTCAGTTTGCTGGCAGGAGACTGTACATGAGACCTTGTAGGTGGGCATGGACATGGGCATGAAAGTTTGAGGAACAGGGCAGATGCCTGTGTGCAGCGAGGAAGGCAGGGATTTGGGAAGCAAGAGCAGAGGATCAAACACTTTCTTAATGTGGGTCAGGATGATCCCCCTTTCAAAGATAGAGAAAGTGATGCACCAGGTGGGAGAGTGACCTAGCCAGGATCATGTTACCATTCAGTGGCAGGTATGCAGTACAACCTGTTCCCTGCTCTCATCACTGGACCCTGCTGCCCCTTCTGTGTGACCCCTCCAACCATCCTCTCCCATAGGTCATCACCACTCTCCAATACCAGGCTGTTTCCATAATGGAAGCAGGCTTGTAACAGATTTCACTCACCGATAGGTGCCCTTTCCTGAAAAGGCCTGGTGTCACAACTTTCTTGCTGGGTTAGCACCCCCACTGATAGTCGCTAGGGCACTCTGGCAGTTTTTTGTCTGGGAACTCAGCCCTTCAGCCAGGTGACCGTGTTTTAGTCCATTCCTTTCTGGGTCGCGCTCATCCCAAACTAAAAGTCCAAAAATGTCTTTGTCAAGGTTCCTTCCCCACTCTGAACTCTAGGGTACAGATGTGGGGACCCGCATGTGTCAAGGTTCCTCCCCCACTCTGAACTCTAGGGTACAGATGTGGGGACCTGCATGAAAAACCTCCTAAGCTTATCTTTACCAGCTTAGGTCAAAACTTCCCCAAGGTACAAAATATTACACCCGTTATCCTTGGAATGGCCGCTACCACCACCAAACTAATACTGGTTACTGGGGAAGAGCTGTTTGGACGCGTCTTTCCCCCCAAAATACTTCCCAAAACCTTGCACCCCACTTCCTGGACAAGGTTTGGTAAAAAGCCTCACCAATTTGTCTAGGTGACTACAGACCCAGACCCTTGGATCTTAAGAACAATGAACAATCCTCCCAACACTTGCACCCCCCCTCTCCTGGGAAATGTTGGATAAAAAGCCTCACCAATTTGCATAGGTGACCACAGACCCAAACCCTTGGATCTGAGAACAATGAAAAAGCATTCAGTTTTTTACAAGAAGACTTTTAATAAAAAATAGAAGTAAATAGAGATAAAGAAATCCCCCCTGTAAAATCAGGATGGTAGATATCTTACAGGGTAATTAGATTCCAAAACATAGAGAACCCCTCTAGGCAAAACCTTAAGTTACAAAAAAGATACACAGACAGAAATAGTTATTCTATTCAGCACAATTCTTTTCTCAGCCATTTAAAGAAATCATAATCTAACACATACCTAGCTAGATTACTTACTAAAAGTTCTAAGCCTCCATTCCTGTTCTGTCCCTGGCCAAGACGACTACAGACAGACACAGACCCTTTGTTCCTCTCCCTCCTCCCAGCTTTTGAAAGTATCTTGTCTCCTCATTGGTCATTTTGGTCAGGTGCCAGCGAGGTTACCTTTAGCTTCTTAACCCTTTACAGGTGAGAGGAGCTTTCCCCTGGCCAGGAGGGATTTCAAAGGGGTTTACCCTTCCCTTTATATTTATGACAGCATGAAAGGCCCCCGAAGCTTATTTCTACCAGCTTAGGTTAAAAACTTCCCCAAGGCACAAAGTCTTTGTCCTTGGATTAGGTAAAATGCTGCCACCACCAAGTGTTTTAGACAAAGAACAGGGAAAGGACCACTTGGAGTCCTATTCCCCCAAAATATTCCCCCAAACCCTTCACCGCCTTTCATGGGGAAGGCTTGATAATAATATCCTCACCAATTGTTACAGATGAACACTGACCCAAACCCTTGGATCTTAAGAACAATGAAAAATCAATCAGGTTCTTAAAAGAAGAATTTTATTTAAAGAAAAGGTAAAAGAATCACCTCTGTAAAATCAGGATGGTGCATACTTTATAGGGTAATCAGATTCAAAACATAAAGAATCCCTCTAGGGAAAACCTTAAGTTACAAAAAGACACAAAAACAGGAATACACATTCCCTCCAGCACAGCGAATTTACAAGCCAAAACAAAGAAAAACCTAACGCATTTTCTAGCTAGATTACTTACTAACTTTACAGGAGTTGAAGGACTTGCATCCTTGATCTGTTCCCGGCAAAGGTATCACACAGACAGACAACACCCACCCCTTCAGATTTGAAAGTATCTTGTCCCCTCATTGATCATTTTGGGTCAGGTGCCAGCGAGTTTACCTTAACTTCTTAACCTTTTACAGGTGAAAGGATTTTGCCTCTGGCCAGAAGGGATTTTATAGCACTGCATACAGAAAGATGTTTACCCTTCCCTTTATATTTATGACAGTCTTTAACAGAAACAAGGTCTTCCGTCCCTTTGGGGGCTCTTCCTCAGCCTGACTTTGGCTCGGCCTGCCCCTGCTAGCCTTGGTAGCCCTTTCTATGGCCTTGTACACCCCCTTCCTTAGAGACCATGGAAGAACCAGTCCTACCCTGGATTCTAGGTTCTGCCCCAAGGCCCTGTACTGAACAGCTAGGCCTGCTCCTGTACCTTTGCTGCAGTTTTCCCTGGTTTTCCCCTCAGGTGGAGCTCATTCTGTAATCCGTTTGCCCTAACTCCAGGCTTTACAGCCCACAAGCCAAGCCCCCCTATTACATACCCTCCTCCTTAGAACCTGGCCCAACCGGGGGGCAAGTTCTATTCTTGTCCAAGCTTCATCCCTTGTCATCTCATCACTGTCACCGGCTGCGTGCTTGTACAGCCTGCGCACAGTGTCCCCAGCTCCACTGCCAGCTCGCTCACCAGAATTAAGAGGCAATCCTTCTCTTACGCAGTATCCCAGCGCTCTTCCTGCAGCCACTCCTTCTCATTAACCGCTGCTTGCAGAGCTTCTTCTGAAGCCTTTAGCTTCTTCTGTAGCCTTTTTGCTACTGCCACTGCATACGCCAAAACCCTTTCCGTCAGGGTCTGAGAACCCACCATGGACTGCTCCACTCTGGTGTTTGTCCCGACTTCAGTCTGCATCATCTCTGTGCCAACCATTTCGTCCTTCACCTCCCTCCAGTACCCGACAGGGTATGTTGGTGGAGGGTCTGCAAAGTCCACGGCCATCCCTGCCACCTCCACATTGCCTGCCTTATGTGGGTTTGTGTCAGAGGACACCTTCTCCTTTCTTTCTACCTTCTTGAGACTCTGGCCCCTCGTTTTGCCACTCAGCAATTTCCTAAGCAGGCCGTGTCTTTTGATATGGCCTGCTTCTCTGCACCCAAAACAAAGAACTCTTGTCCCCATCTTGGCATTAGGCCACTCTTGTACACTTTCTCATGCCCTGCTCTCCTGGGCTAATCTTCACAGCACAGCCCAGGCATGCTCTCCTTGTCTGCTCTTTTTGTCCATGGGTATAGCAGACCCTGGGTTGATTTCCCTTTGCAGGATCTCTCACAGGTATTTCTGCTGCCGCGTCTGTAGCTCCGCCTGCACTTCCTTCTGCCTCTGTTGGTGTTCTAGGAGCTGCGTGAGAAACCCCTAGACCTGCTTTGGCTGCTTAACCAGTCCCTGGAACTGAAGTGAGAAATCCAGTGACCAGCTCGGTCCCTCGAGACACCCGCTTGGCAGGACAGACCGTCCTTCAGCAACCAAGACTTCCATCAGCCTTCATGGATCACAGGGGGAATTCAATGCTCCTGACTATGCCAATCAGAAACAAATCTACACATCGTTACATGCCCCCCGGCGGCCAAACATGGCATCACAGCCCTCTCGCTGGGCTAGCGTCCCCCATCGATGGTCACTCCAGCACCATGACAGTTTCTCTGTCTGCTAACTCAGCCCTCCGGCCAGGTCACCACCTTTAGTCCACCCTTCTGTGGCCCAGCTTGTCTCACACTAAAAGTCCAAAGAGATCTTTCCACAGAAAGAAGTCCTTCTGCCATCGCTGGGGCCCTTGCTCAGCCTGCAGCCCACATGCTGGGCTTGGTAACCCTCTCCGGGTGCGTGTAAGCCCCCTTATTTGCAGCCAGTAGGGAAACCCAGTCCCACCCTGACATTGGGAGCAGCCCAGGGCCCTGTACCCAACAGCTAGGTCTGCTTCTTTCTCTTTGCTGCAGTTTTCCCTGGGTACTTCCTATTTCTCTTCTCAAGTTCCCCTCTAGACTTTCCTTGCTGCTCTGAACTTCCTATCTCGTTCTCATTCCTGTTGATTCCTCAGCTGGGCTGTATCACCACTGCACTCTGGCTCTTTAGGGGGAGGTACATGGTGCCTCTCAGTTAGGGCTTATTCTGTAATCAGCTTGTGTCAAGGTTCCTCCCCCACTCTGAACTCTAGGGTACAGATGTGGGGACTTGCATGAAAACCTCCTAAGCTTACTTTAACCAGCTTAGGTTAAAACTTTCCCAAGGTACAAATTAATTTTATCCCTTGTCCCTGGATCTCCACTGCCACCACCAAACTCTAACTGGGTTTACTGGGAAACATAGTTTGGACACGTCTTTCCCCCCAAAATCCTCCCAACCCTTGCACCCCACTTCCTGGGAAAGGTTTGGTAAAAATCCTCACCAATTTGCATAGGTGACCACAGACCCAAACCCTTGGAACAGAGAACAATGAAAAAGCATTCAGTTTTCTTACAAGAAGACTTTTAATAGAAGTAAAGAAATCCCCTCTGTAAAATCAGGATGGTAGATACCTTACAGGGTAATTAGATTCAAAACATAGAGAATCCCTCTAGGCAAAACCTTAAGTTACAAAAAAGACACATAGACAGGAATAGTCATTCTATTCAGCACAGTTCCTTTCTCAGCCATTTAAAGAAATCATAATCTAACGCATACCTAGCTAGATTACTTACTAAAAGTTCTAAGACTCCATTCCTGTTCTATCCCTGGCAAAAGCAGCATACAGACAGACACAGACCCTTTGTTTCTCTCCCTCCTCCCAGCTTTTGAAAGTATCTTGTCTCCTCCTCATTGGTCATTCTGGTCAGGTGCGAGCGAGGTTACCTTTAGCTTCTTAACCCTTTACAGGTGAGAGGATTTTTCCTCTGGCCAGGAGGGATTTTAAAGGGGTTTACCCTTCCCTTTATATTTATGACAGCTTGGCTAAGCCCCAGGCTGTGCAGCCCAGGGGAAAGCCTCCTGTTACAGGCCTGCTCTGCCCACTCCTGCTGTTACTGAGCTGAGGTCCTTGCTCCCCATTTCAGACCTGGTTTCTAGAGGGGCTGAGTACACACAGGCCCCACTGCCTGGAACTGGAGTTTTCTTGTTTTGGTGACTCTGACATTCAGGCCCTTCATCATTCAGTGGCTGACAGGTGTGGTGAGGGGGCTGGAGAAACCCCACTGCTGACCGGAAGGAGGTCAAAGAGTTGGGATTCTGGGAGCTGATGGGTTCATTTGCCCTGCTGCGGGAAGTGGAGCTGGAGACCAGAGATGCCATATGAACGAGACTACCTGAAGTTCTCTTCATGCCCGAGGGGCTGGAGCCTCCTGCCGGAAACGCTCTCAGGAGTCCAGGTTCGAAGACATCTCCGGAGAGCCCCTTCCTAGGAACAAAACCGGGGTGGTACAATGATGGAGACGTCTCTGTCCCAGAGCTGGGAGCCAGGGATGGGGGAGGCTCCCAGCCAGGCTGTGCATCAGGGATCCCATTCTCCCCCAAGAGACCCACACGTCCCAAGGAGTAAATGGCTCTTACTCCTATGAGGGAGTGGGGTCTTCCATCTAAGCTTCTTTGAGAGCCAGCATTGCTTGCTTTGATGGGACGAGATGACCTGTCCCCACTGCTCCCGGAGGTGGCTCAGCTGCAGGCTGCACCTGTCTGGGAGGCTGTGACAGATCCCAGGGCCTGGAAGACAGCTGGGAAGGAGGCTCCTATTCATTTCACACCCAGAGACCCCATAGAAGGGCCAAGGGGAGAATACAGGGCAGGAGGTGAAGCTAGCCCTGAGCCTCTGTCCCACCCCCACCTCCTCAAAGTGGAGCTTTGCGAGCTTCAGTGGGGCTAGGGGCTGTGGCCCTGACACAATGGCCCTGCTGCACCATATGGGGCAGGGAGAGCTCTGCCTGGGAGCAAGGGGAATGGGATGGGGATAGACCAAGGAAACGGCCGGGGGGAATGGGTGTGAGGGAAAGAACTCCTGCCCCAGATGAAGAAATTTGGGGGGCAAGGGGAAGGACCCTGCTCCAAAGAGAGGGGAGAGAATTTTTGTGAGTGACGGGGGCTCCATTTCCCCTTCCACTAGCTCCCCATTTACAGTGAGCCAGAACAGTACCTGCAGCAGGGAGCGGGAGTTTCTGGTGGCCTCAGAGGCACAGCCCTGCAGTGCCTCAGGCACCTGGCGCAAGTGCCGGATGATGCGGAGCTGGCGCATCACATTGGCCGTGAAATCCTCCTGCTGCAAGGGAACGAGAACCTGTCAGAGACTCAGATGCCCCCGAGGAATTGGTGGGATTAAGGGCACCTGGAACCAGCAGCATTTCCACCCAGCACCTGCCTACCTCTGAGAGTAGATTCACCCTTCTGACCCCCAGAATGGAGTCTTCTTGTCCTTTCTAGTGACCTCCAGTACCAACCCCCCTCCTTGTAGGGTGAGCTCCTGCTGCCTCCCCGTCAGTGCCCCTGACAGCTGTTCCACCTCCAATCCACAACTCAAGTTCTCAAAACCCTCTCCTCCACCCCAACCCAGGTTGGGCAGAGAGGGGGCTCTAGGAGGTGGGGCAGGAGGGATTCTGGCAGAAGTGAAGTGGGATGTGGGGAGGTTGAGACATTTCCCCAAGTCATCCCAGCCACTAATGCTGAAGCTGCAGGATGGCAGCCCTGGTGAATGGGGCAGACCAGCAGCCCTTGCTGACTGAATCCTCCTGTTCTCTCTAGAGCGGATCCAGCCCTGCCAGCAGCAGGACAAGCTTCCCATTCCCATGTGCCTCAGCCCTGCCTGGTGCATCGCCATCACCCGTCAGTCCTTGGCCTCCCAGGCTGCCAGTGATGGGAGCAACTCTGGGTGGTGGCTCAGGTGACATGGACATTAGGCCACTGGGAACTGGTGTTGCCCTGTGGGACAGGAGAGGCTCACAGAGGGCTCTTCCCAAGAGCGATAACACGGTGTCCTAAGAACATAAGTCCGTGATGAGGTAATGCTTGTCATTAATTAGCATTGCTAAAGAGCTGGGTTGGAGCTGCTCCGGGGACAAGCTGGCTCCCTCCTGCTCATGTAGGTGGATTCATCTCTCTACCCAGTAGCACCTGCTCTTACTCTCATTCCCCACCAGGCTCCTTGTTGCCGGGCCAGCGAATGACCATAGGATGGGAATGAGGCCTGGGCCCTGCCCCAATCTCCTGAGTCTAATGTAGCTGCTTACCTTGTCCTCCATCAGCTGCTGGGCTTCCCCCAGGAGGGAGTAGGTGAGGAGCAGCCCAGCCTGGCTGACAGGGGGTTGTGGATGGCCAGCACTGCCATCTGGAGGAAGGATCTTCTCTGCCTCTCCTAGAAGAACTTTCCGAAGACCTAAAATCAACAAGACGGGGGAGGCATTAGCAGATTGCCCAGGGCGAGGCTCCAAATTCTGGGGCTAGAACGGTATCTCCGTCTAGTGACCCCAGGAGGCAGCCACTGCAGGGAGCCCAGCCACTCCCACTCCCTGAGCTGTGTCATGCCCTGGCAGAGTGTCCTTACCACCCCCGCCCTGGCTGTGTTCCTGTAGCCCAGGAGCCTGCCGTCCCGGTGCCAGTCCCAACACCACAGGTCTTTGACCTCATGGATGGTCAGCCCTGGGAAAGAGAGACACACACACACATTTGTCATAGAATCATAGAATCATAGAATCATAGAATATCAGGGTTGGAAGGGACCCCAGAAGGTCATCTAGTCCAACCCCCTGCTCGAAGCAGGACCAATTCCCAGTTAAATCATCCCAGCCAGGGCTTTGTCAAGCCTGACCTTAAAAACCTCTAAGGAAGGAGATTCTACCACCTCCCTAGGTAACGCATTCCAGTGTTTCACTACCCTCTTAGTGAAAAAGTTTTTCCTAATATCCAATCTAAACCTCCCCCACTGTAACTTGAGACCATTACTCCTCGTTCTGTCATCTCCTACCATTGAGAACAGTCTAGAGCCATCCTCTTTGGAACCCCCTTTCAGGTAGTTGAAAACAGCTATCAAATCCCCCCTCATTCTTCTCTTCTGCAGGCTAAACAATCCCAGCTCCCTCAGCCTCTCCTCATAACTCATATGTTCCAGACCCCTAATCATTTTTGTTGCCCTTCGCTGGACTCTCTCCAATTTATCCACATCCTTCTTGAAGTGTGGGGCCCAAAACTGGACACAGTACTCCAGATGAGGCCTCACCAATGTCGAATAGAGGGGAACGATCACGTCCCTCGATCTGCTCGCTATGCCCCTACTTATACATCCCAAAATGCCATTGGCCTTCTTGGCAACAAGGGCACACTGCTGACTCATATCCAGCTTCTCGTCCACTGTCACCCCTAGGTCCTTTTCCGCAGAACTGCTGCCTAGACATTCGGTCCCTAGTCTGTAGCTGTGCATTGGGTTCTTCCGTCCTAAGTGCAGGACCCTGCACTTATCCTTATTGAACCTCATCAGATTTCTTTTGGCCCAATCCTCCAATTTGTCTAGGTCCTTCTGTATCCTATCCCTCCCCTCCAGCGTATCTACCACTCCTCCCAGTTTAGTATCATCCGCAAATTTGCTGAGAGTGCAATCCACACCATCCTCCAGATCATTTATGAAGATATTGAACAAAACCGGCCCCAGGACCGACCCTTGGGGCACACCACTTGATACCGGCTGCCAACTAGACATGGAGCCATTGATCACTACCCGTTGAGCCCGACAATCTAGCCAGCTTTCTACCCACCTTGTAGTGCATTCATCCAGCCCATACTTCCTTAACTTGCTGACAAGAATACTGTGGGAGACCGTGTCAAAAGCTTTGCTAAAGTCAAGAAACAATACATCCACTGCTTTCCCTTCATCCACAGAACCAGTAATCTCATCATAGAAGGCGATTAGATTAGTCAGGCATGACCTTCCCTTGGTGAATCCATGCTGGCTGTTCCTGATCACTTTCCTCTCATGTAAGTGCTTCAGGATTGATTCTTTGAGGACCTGCTCCATGATTTTTCCAGGGACTGAAGTGAGGCTGACTGGCCTGTAGTTCCCAGGATCCTCCTTCTTCCCTTTTTTAAAGATTGGCACTACATTAGCCTTTTTCCAGTCATCCGGGACTTCCCCGGTTCGCCACGAGTTTTCAAAGATAATGGCCAATGGCTCTGCAATCACAGCCGCCAGTTCCTTCAGCACTCTCGGGTGCAACTCGTCCGGCCCCATGGACTTGTGCACGTCCAGCTTTTCTAAAAAGTCTAAAAATGTCATTCTGGTTGCAGTGCTTGTGTCCTTCCAATCCCATTGGTGGCCGCATAGTGGGCAGAGTCCTCGCTGCTTGCCTGGCCCAACAGAATTGCAGGGGGTGGTGTAGAACAGAGAAAGAGATTGAGAGAGACTCAGCCTCCAGCCAGGGTCAGTCTGAGACAAATTGGCTGGGGTCCCAGTCTTACTCTTCTACCGGGTGCCATTTCGCAGCTGGGTTCCTTACCCCTCTGGTGCAGCAGCAGCTGGTAGAGCTGGTACACTCCCTCTCTGGCCTCCCAGCTGATGTCCTTGGCTGGGTCACTGATGGACAGAGCCAGCTGTGCCACACGGTGACCCATCCTGGGGAATTCTGCTGAGTTCTAATGGAAGGAAGAGGGAGAGGGGACTCTATCAGCATTTTCCTGTCAGCTCCCAGTCTCCCCAGGCCCAGGACACTCCTTCCCCTCAGCCCCTCTACAGGAGATGCTAGAGGATAGGAGCTAGAGCTAGATCCTTAATTTCCTCTGCCCTCAAGTGAGCCTGGAGCACAGGGATGTGGGCAGGGCCCTCCATGAGGATTTGCTTCCCCAGCTGCTCCAGGATGACAGGAAGGCATGAACCTGGAGCATGGTCCCCTTAAAAGCCCAGAGTCACCACTTAACCAGGACAAGAAGAACTTGACTCAAGCCAAGCTTATTTTCTGCTCTGACTCTGCCTCCCCAAGAGGAACACTCCTAACCCACAGCCCCTGCAGCAGCACATCCTACAGCCCGTTTGAGCCAGCCCACCTACGCTTGAAGTCAGGAAGCTGGGGTCAGAGGTCACTTACTTCAAACTCAGGGAGGGTGATGGTGGATCTGAGCAGGAGGGAGATGGGGTTTGCAGGCCTACTCAGTATTTTTAAACTTTGCATTCAGTTCATGTGGAAAATAAAATCAGAAGATCAGACTTCAGAGTTTCATGCTTATTTAATGCCCGATTAAACATGGAACAAATGCATCTTCATTAAGGAGAAATGTTGCTATTGTTTGATTAAGCAGCACTCATTAACATAGGCTGTTGCTATTTATCAGAGGGGCAAATTTAGGCCAAACCAGCCCCACTATGCCAGCCTTCCCACTGAAGCATGTGCTTCTAAACAAGCAGCATTAGTGATTATAATTATATATTTTAGCTGGCAATCCCAGAGCCAGAGAAGCCTAACAACTAGTAGCTATGTGCAGAATATGCCATATGCTTTATTTTGATTAATTAGTTAATGTTGTAAAGCACTTTTTGAAGAAGAAAAGTTCCAAGTATGATCCTTTTCAGCACCAGCCCTGCCAGTCTCTGATTTTTTGCCAAAAATGCCTTTAGCTTTTTCAGTGCAAAATTAAGTATAACTGTCATTTTATTAGACTACATGGTTAGGACAGCCAAGTTGTTTTGTTTTTAAGCTCAGGGCTTCTCAGTTTTTTTTCACAGCAGGCTCCATCATGATAAAGTAGCAGCTCAGTTTCCCCTCACTATAATTTCCTTGCCCCCATGCTCTGCCCCAGTTTTGCCACATTCATCTTTTATACTGTCTATTTTCTGCTCTCTTCCTCTTGGACACTGCTTTCACCATTTTAGGGCTGTCTTCACTGCAGTGTAAGCATGAGGTATAGCTCGAGTCTTGTCTCTAATTCAAGTCTTGTTCTCTCTCTCTCGCTCTCTCTCACACACACCCAAACTCAAGTTAAGTGGTGCTTTAATCTTGAGCTAGCTGGTCATCAGGGGTACATCTGTTAAAGCTTGAGTGCTGGATGCTCAAACAAGGACTGCAGTGGGAATATAGCTATAGTGTGCTGCAAATCCAATCATGCTGTTTTGCAATGACAGTGCTCTCACTCGACTGAGGCCAACCATAAGAGGTGTTATAACTCAAGTTAATACTGCAGTGAAGACAAGCCCTTACCAAATGACAACGGTAGCAGTGCTAAGTTTCACCCTTTTATAAGGGGTCTCAATGTTTGGTGTTTTCCTTAAAGCTCCAGCTTCTGGAGTCATGGGATTACATAAAATCTCAGTTTTCATTAAAAAAGTAAGTTTCTAGCCCTCCTGGCTGCTGAGAAAAGCTTGAAAACATGAAAAGCAAAGGCTCATGAACCAGGAGGTAAATTTAAAGAATGCAAAATGACATCTCATAATTTTTGAATCCTTGAGGTTAGCAATAGTCATATGGCCCATTGTAATCAACAAGATAGGGATTTAGGATAAATATATATTTAAAACGCTAGAGGCTGGAGGAGGGAACTGACTAAGCCCTGGTCTACACTATGAGGTTAGGTCAAATTTAGCGGCGTTAGGTTGATTTTATAAGCAATGCAGCTACACAACCAACCCTGTTCCGTTGACCTAAAGGGCTCTTAAAATCAACTGCTGTACTCCGCCCCGGCGAGGGAAGTAGCACTAAAATTGACCTTCTTGGGTCGAATTTGGGGTAGTGCAGACGCAGTATTGTGCAATTCGACGGTATTGGCCTCTGGGAACTATCCAAGAGTGCTCCAATGTGACCGCTCTGGACAGCATTTTCAACTCCGATGTACTAGCCAGGGACACAGGAAAAGCCCCGGGAACTTTTGAATTTCATTTCCTGTTTGGTCAGCGTGGTGAGCTCAGCAGCACAGGTGACCATACAGTCCCAGAATTGCAAATGAGCTCCAGCATGGAGTGAATGGGAGACACTGGATCTGTTTGCTGTACGGGGAGAAGAATCCGTGCAGGCCGAACTCCGATCAAAAAGAAGAAATGCTAATATATATGCCAAAATCACACAGGGCATGGTGGAGAGAGGCTACAACAGGGACACACAGCAGTGCCATGTGAAAGTTAAGGAGCTCAGGCAAGCCTACTACAAGACAAAGGAAGAAAACGGTTGCTCCGGGTCAGGGCCCCATACATACTGCTTCTATGATCAGCTGCATGCCATTCTAGGGAGGGACCCTACCACTACCGCACCACTGACAGTGGACACCTGCAAGGGGGGAGTCTCACACAAAGTGGAGGAGGATTTTGTGGATGAGGAAGAGGAGAAGGAGGAGAATGCGCAGCAGGCAAGTGGAGAATCCGTTCTCCCCAGCAGCCAGGACCTTTTCATCACTCTGGAGCCAATACCCTCCCAAGGCAGGTTCCTGGACCCTGGAGGTGGAGAAGGCAGCTCTGGTGAGTGCACATTTGTAACTACACTACAGGGGTTAAAAGCAATTTGTTTAATGTTTGATTTGCCCTGAAGAATTGGGATGCATTCGCAGCCAGTACAGTACTGGAAAAGTCTGTTAACGTGTCTGGGGATGGAGCGGGAATCCTCCAGGGACATCTCCATTAAGCTCTCCTGGAGGTACTCTGAAAGCCTTTGCAGAAGGCTTCTGGGGAGGGCTGCCTTATTTTGTCCTTCACGGTAGGACACTTTACCATGCCAAGCCAGTAGCAAGTAGTCTGGAATCACTGCAGCACAAAGCATGGCAGAGAATGGTCCTGGGTTTTCGTCACATTCATGCAACATTCAGTCTTTATCTTTCTGTGTCAGCCTCATAGAATATCAGGGTTGGAAGGGACCTCAGGAGGTCATCTAGTCCAACCCCCTGCTCAAAGCAGGACCAATCCCCAATTAAATCAGCCTCAGGAGAGTGATATCATTCATGGTCACCTGGTTGAAACAGGGGAATTTTGTAAGGGAACAGTAAAAGGACCCCGTTCATGCTGGGCTGTTTGCGCTTGGCTAAAAGGAATCATCCCGGAGAACTTGCCAGTAAGTTAAAGAAGTATGGTCTGGATGAATTGACTATAAGGTGGATAGAAAGCTGGCTAGATTGTTGGGCTCAATGGGTAGTGATCAATGGCTCCTTGTCTAGTTGGCAGCTGGTATCAAGTGGAGTGCCCCATGGGTTAGTCCTGGGGCTGGTTTTGTTCAATATCTTCATTAATGATCTGGAGGATGGCATGGATTGCACCCTCAGCAAGTTTGCAGATGACACTAAACTGGGAGGAGTGGTAGATAAGCTGGAGGGTAGGGATATGATACAAAGGGACCTAGACAAATTAGAGGATTGGGCCAAAAGAAATCTGATGAGGTTCAACAAGGACAAGTGCAGAGTCCTACACTTAGGAAGGAAGAATCCCATGCACTCCTACAGGCTGGGGATCGACTGGCTAGGTGGCAGTTCTGCAGAAAAGGACCTAGGGGTTACAGTGGACGAGAAGCTGGATATGAGTCAACAGTGTGTCCTTGTTCCCAGGAAGGCTAACGGCATTTTGGGCTGTATAAGTAGGAGCATTGCCAGCAGATCGAGGGACATGATCATTCCCCTCTATTCACCCGGGCTTCTTTGTCAGTGATCTTCCTTTTCTTTTAATAAATAATGAATGCATGGATTCAAAACAATAGGATTTTATTTCCTTTGCCAGCTATGGTTGAAGGGGAAAGGGGGATTGGCTTACAGGGAAGTAAATTCAATAAAGGGGGTGGTTTTGCATCAAGGAGAAACACACACAACGGTCACACCATAGCTTGGCCAGTCATGAAACTGTTTTTCAAAGCCTGTCTGATGTGCAGCGCACCTAGCTGTGCTCTTCTAATCGCCCTGGTGTCTGGCTGTTCAAATTTGGCCACCAGGTGATTTGCCTCAACCTCCCACGCTGCCATAAATGTCTCTCCGTTTCTCTCACAGATATTATGGAGCACACAGCAAGCAGCAATAACAATGGGAATGTTGGTTGCGCTGAGGTCTAACCTAGTCAGAAAGAGCTCCAGCAAGCTTTTAAATATCCAAAGGCACATTCTACCACCATTCTGCACTTGCTCAGCCTATAGTTAAACCGTTCCTTACTACTGTCCAGTCTGCCTGTGTACAGCTTCATGAGCCATGGGAGCAAGGAGTAGGCTGGGTCCCCAAGGATAACTATTGGCATTTTCAAAAAGAAAAGGAGTACTTGTGGCATTTTAACATCCCCAATGGTAATTTTCTGGTCTGGGAAGTAAGTCCCTTCTTGCAGCTGTTCGAACAGCCTGGAATTCCTAAAGATGCGAGTGTCATGCACCTTTCCAGACCATCCCATGTTGATATCGGTGAAACATCCCTTGTGATCCACCAGCGCTTGCAGCACCATTGAGAAGTACCCCTTGTGGTTTAAGTATTGGTTGGTAAGGTGGTCTGATGCCAAGATAGGGATATGCATCTCGCCTATCGCCCCACCACAGTTAGGGAACCCCACTGCAGCAAAGCCATCCACTATGACCTGCACATTTCCCAGAGTCACTACCCTTGCTAGCAGAAGGTCACTGATTGCCTTGGCTACTTGGATCACAGCAGTCCCCACTGTAGATTTGCCCACTCCAAATTGATTCCTGACTGACCAGTAGCAGTCAGGCATTGCAAGCCTCCACAGGGCTACCGCCACTCGCTTCTCAGCTATCAGGGCAGCTCCCATCTTGGTGTTTCTGTGCTTCAGGGCTGGGCAAAGCAACTCACAAAGTTCCATGAAAGTGGCTTTACGCATGCGAAAGTTTTGCAACCACTGGGAATCATCCCAGACCTGCAATGCTATGCGGTCCCACCAGTCTGTGCTTGTTTGCCAGGCCCAGAATAGGCGTTCCACTGTATCAACCAGCCCCACTGCCACCGTGATGTCCCAGTTGCCACATCCTGTGCTTTCAGGAACGTCTGTGTCCATGTCCTCCTCACAATCGTCCTCATGCCGGCGTCTCTTAGCTAGGTTCTGCGCATACTGCAGGATAATGTGCGAGGTGTTTACAATGCTCACAACAGCAGCGCTGAGCTGAGCGGGCTCCATGCTTGCCGTGCTATGGCATCTGCATGGGTAACTCAGGACAAAAGGCGCAAAACGATTATCTGCCATTGCTTTCACGGAGGGAGGAAGGGGAGACTGACGACATGTACCCCAAACCACCCATGACAATGTTTTTGCCCCATCAGGCATCAGGAGCTTAACCCAGAATTCCAGTGGGCAGCGGAGACTGTGGGATAGCTACCCACAGTGCACCACTCCGTGAGTCGATGCTAGCCATGGTATTGAGGACGCACTCTGCCAACCTACTGCGCTTAGTGGGGACATACACAATCTACTATATAAAATTGCTTTCTAAAGATCGACTTCTATAAAATCGACCTAATTTCGTAGCGTAGACATACCCTAATAAGAGGAATAGAGAAAAGGAGAAAGAAAAAGAGATAAGAAGGGTGGAAAGGGAATAGATAGAAAAGGGAAGAGCTGGCAGGTCAAGGGTCCCAATTTCACACATGGTATGTGAATCATATAAGAAAGAGCCTGGCTTAAAAGGGTGGATGACAAAACACTGTGATATTGCCATTCTAGGAGTTGAGAGTGTAATGGTTGCTTTGAGGTTTGAGGACAGAGGCTTCCTACGACTTCTGCTTACTGAAGGGAATTGAGTGAATTTATTCTCTCTCACTAGCTATCTTGTTCTGAATGTTGTAAACAGTACATTGTGTTCTGGTAACCAAATTGTACTAGTATTTATTTTAATAGCAGCCCTCACAAGCTAACTGTGTTGTCAAAGTTAAAATAAATAGAAAAATAAAACTAAACTCAACAAAAAAGACCTAACATGGGACTGTAAGGCTTATGACCTGCTACCCCCATCCAGGTAGTTTGACTGTTTTCTTTCAGTTTAACAGCCATTTCTGAAATGCAGGCAGTATTCTTTTAATCAGGTACTCTCAATGACAGTGGAGCAGTAGTGACAGAAGCAGAGGTTGTAGGCAGTGTATTCCCACAAAGTGTGCATTTGATCAGGGTCTTTTTTGTACATCAAATGATTCTGTTAATGTGTAACTCCGTGGTGGGTGAGCATTTAGCATCAGTTAGATGTCCCTGTTTATTTTGTTTTGGATTGACGCTTTTTTTTAGAAGCCTCAAACACTGGTATTTTATGGCTGTAGGCTGGGGAAACCCTATTCAGTTGAGAAAAACTAAATAATATGGATAAGCTCTTGAAATGATGAGTCTGTGGCACCCAAGACTGGGAGGAAGTTCAATTTGCTTGACTGCAGTTCTAAATAAGAGAGCAGAATCCTGCTTCTGCTAAAGTCAATGAAAAAGCTGCCATTTCTGTAACTGGCTTCTGTGTTCATACCATAGAAACAGTGATTGCTGTCTAATGAACAAGCACAGCCACAAGACTTTAAAGAATACTAGGAAATCCTATCAATGTGCATTCTAAGATCTGTTCAGACTCTGTTGGTGTGAGAGATTTCTCCAGATACCCATTATTTGTCAAACAACTTTAAATAGCAATTGATACGAGGGCAGAAACATATGTAATTTATAAACCCTTTATATTTGTATCATAACTATTTTTGGTAACAAAATTAGAGTTAAAAGAACAGGAGGACTTGTGGCACCTTGGAGACTAACACATTTATTTGAGCTCACGAAAGCTCATGCTCAAATAAATGTGTTAGTCTCTGAGGTGCCACAAGTCCTCCTGTTCTTTTTGCGGATACAGACTAATAAGGCTGCTACTCTGAAATTAGAGTTGTGTCAGCCTGATGACAGCACAATAAAAAGAAGCAAATTACTCTTCACTTCCAGATGAAAGCTTTATGACTCAGACTGCATTTCTAGTCCTTTATGGCCAGTTTCTATCATGCATTTAATGAATATTTCGCCCTTCCTATAATTCACTTGACAGCAAAATGTCATTTAACATTTCACCACCTTCCTTTCCTCCCCCTACTCCCCCCCCCCATACTCCCATGGGCCTCCCACCACTGCTATTCAGCCACTTGTCTCCCTCTATGCCCTGTTCTACACTAGGACTTTAGGTCGAATTTAGCAGCGTTAAATCGATGTAAACCTGCACCCGTCCACATGATGAAGCCCCTTTTTTTCGACTTAAAAGGCTCTTAAAATTGAATTCCTTACTCCACCCCTGACAAGTGGAAAAGCACTTAAATCGGCCTTGCTGGGTCGAATTTGGGGTACTGTGGACACAATTCGACGGTATTGGCCTCCGGGAGCTATCCCAGAGTGCTCCATTGTGATCGCTCTGGACAGCACTCTCAACTCAGATGCACTGGCCAGGTAGACAGGAAAAGAACCGCGAACTTTTGAATCTCATTTTCTGTTTGGCCAGCATGACCATGCAGAGCTCATCAGCAGAGGTGACCATGATGGAGTCCCAGAATCGCAAAAGAGCTCCAGCATGGACTGAACCGGAGGTATGGGATCTGATCACTGTATGGGGAGAGAAATCCGTGCTATCAGAACTCCGATTTACCTTGCTGCACCTTCTCTGTGAGTGACTGCAGTCCCCTAGCCCCTATGAAACACTCTTGCCGGCAGCTCTGTCCCTATTGACAGGATGTGCTGTTGCCAGAAATGCCAGCTGGTGATAGAGATTAAGATGCCACTCATGGTAGCTTAATAGCTGTTGGGGGGGAAATTTTCACGATGCTTTGGTTACCCCAATGGGATCCTATCATCAGGACACTTAGCAGAACTGCTTCCCATCGCACATTGGAAAAAATAAAATAAAATATAGAAAAATGCACTAAACACCTGAGAATAAAGGAGCAGTGATCTAAAGCAGCCTTAGGTGAAGTTTCAAAAGATCAAAATCTTGCCAGACAACGTTGATTAGAAACTGTATCATAGAAAACAAAGTAAGAGATAAAGGGAAGCTGGAAAACATTATATTTTCAAGGGCCAGAAACTCAGCTGATGTAAATTGACATAGCTTCTGTGAGGATCCAGCCCTTAGATTTGTAATGAATCATTTCATAAAATCATAGAACCATAGGACTGGAAGGGACCTCAGGGGGTCATCTAGTCCAGTCCCCTGCACTCGTGGCCAGACAAAGTGTTATCTAGACTATCCCTGATAGGTGTTTGTCTAACCTGCTCTGAGAAATCTCTAGTGATGGAGATTCCACAACCTCCTTAGGCAATTTATTCCAGTGCCTAACCACCAATTAGGACATTTTTCCTAATGTTCAACCTAAACCTCCCTTGCTGCAATTTAAGCCCATTGCTTCTTCTCCTATCCTCAGAGATTAAGAAGAACAATTTTTCTCCCTCCTCCTTTTACTTGAAAACTGTTATGTCCCCTCTCAGTCTTCTCTTTTCCAGACTAAATAAACCCATTTTTTTCAATCTTCCCTCATAGGTCATGTTTTCTTTAATCATTTTTGTTCCTCTTCTCTGGATTTTCTCCAATTTGTCCACATCTTTCCTGAAAGGTGGAACCCAGAACTGGACACAATAATCCAGTTGAGGCCTAATCAGCGTGGAGTAGAGTGTCTTGCTTACAATACTCCTGCTAATACATCCCAGAATGATGTTCGCTTTTCTTGCAACAGTGTTACACTGTTGACTCATATTTAGCTTGTGATCCACTATGACCTCCAGATCCCTTTCTGCAATATTCCTATTTACTTCAGACCATTTCTGCAGTTTGTCCAGATCATCCTATCCTCCAAAGCACTTGCAAACTGTCCAAGCTTAGTATTGTACTCAAACTTTAAAAGTGTACTGTAGTAGACTCCTACTTGGACATCACCCTTGTTTTTTACCCCTTTTATCCTTACCCAGAGACTTTCAACAAGTCTGTCTCCTATTTCCATCTCAACCTCAGTCCAAGTGTATACATTTTTAACATACAAGGCAGCACCTCCTCCCTTTTTTCCCTGCCTGTCCTTCCTGAGCAAGCTGTTCCCTTCTATACCAATATTCCAGTCATGTGTATTATCCCACCAAATCTGTGATGCCAGCTATGTCATAGTTGTGTTTATTTACTAGCATTTTGAGTTCTTCCTGCTTATTCCCCATACTTCTTGCATTAGTATACAGACAACTGAGATACTGATTTGATTTCCCCCTCTCCCCCAGTTCTGTCTTGTCTCTCCCTTATCCCTGCTATAACAGCCCATGCTCCGCCAAAATTCTGACCCTTCTCCCAGGTCTCCATGTTTTTCACTTAGCTATGGGCTTTAGTCACCTTCCCCCTTCGACCCTACTTTAAAGCCCTTCTCAAAAGGTTAGCGAGTCTGTATCCAAATATGCTCTTCCTCGATAGATGGACCCCATCTCTGCTTAGCAGTCCTTTTTCCAGGAACAGCATCCTGTGGCTAAGGAAGCCAAAGCCCTCCTGGCGACACCATCCTCGCAGCCAGGCATTCACCTCCAGGATGCATCTGTCTCTGCCTGGGCCCCTACCCTTGACCAGAAGGATCGGAGAGAACAGCACCTGCACTCCCAATTCCTTCACCCTTACTCCCAGAGCCCTGTAGTCACTTCTGAGCTGTGCGGGTCATACCTTGCAGTATCATTAGCGCCCACATGGATGAGTAGCATGGGGTAGTAGTCAGAGGGCCAGATGATCCTCAACCATCCATCCGTAATGTCTTAGATACGGGCCCCTGGCAAGGCAGCGTACCTTCCAGGATGCCATGTCAGGGTGACTAGATGGGTGCCTCGGTCCCCATCAGAAGAAAGTCACCAATCACCACTACCCTAAATTTCCTCCTCGGAGTGGTTGCTGCCATCCTCCCCAGCCCATGATCCTCCCCAGCTTCTCGTCCTCCATCTTTGGGGGTGATTCCTCATCGCTCATTGCCAGGGCAGCATAATGGTTTTCCAACACCATGGTGGGTGGGCTGGGAGTAGGGCTAGAGCACTGCCTGCTGCCAGAAGTAACCAGCGGCCAGTGTCCTCCCTGTGACAGCATCATATCCTCTTCCCCC